TCGTGTATTAAACCTCTCATAATATACACGGCATCACCCTTCGTGCTTTAAACCTTTCATAATATACACGACATCACCCTTCGTGCTTTGCACTCTTCCTCACAATATAAATAATGCATGCACGGCATCAAACTTCGTGCTTTACACTCCTCATCACCAATCACAGAATTAATAACAACTGATAGATAAGAGTATCACAAAGAAACTAGTATTTTACCCATAATCAATAGCACAATGTAATCTCAACCTTGAATCAATATTCGAAAGTTGCCAAATCTCAGTGAAACCAGATATGAGTCACCCAACATTTTAAATAACTCGCTAAGCATGGATAGTAGAATTTAAGGCTACAAAATAGACAAGAACATAATTTCATTCGCATGCTATGACTCGACAACGACGCATAGATGCTTGTCACTCATCTATACATCGTATTTAACAACCAAACACGTAGAAAATGAACACATAATACCTATTCCCTTAAGCCAAAGCTAGATACGACACTTACCTTGCTCTGAAGGCCACTTAATTCTCAATCACAACTTTTCCTTTGGAATTCACCTCCAAACCACTCGTATCTATTAAAAAATGACTCAATAATATCAAATATTGCTAAAGGAATCAATTATATTTCATATATTAAATTTCCCAAATTTTTCTCCAAAAAGTCAAAAAATCGACCCCGGGCCTGCTTGGTCAAAATCCGAGATTCGGACCAAAATCCTTTTACCCATTCACCCTCGAGCCCGAATATGTAATTAGTTTTGGAATCCGACCTCAAATTGGGGTCTAAATCCTCAAATTTTCGAAATTCCTAGTTTCTACCCTAACCCCTAATTCTACCATGAAAACTCTAGATTTTTAGTTGATAATTCAAGGAATGCAATGGGTAATTAAAAGAAAATAGTTTAGAATCACTTACCAACACTTTGGGAAAGAAAATGACTCTTGAAAATCGCCTCTACCCGTTTGGTTCTTGAAAAATGTTGAAGAAATGGCTTAAGCCCGTGTTTGATTCTGTTTTATGCACTGGGCGACAGTGTGCATCGCGTTCGTGAGGCCACTGTCGCGTTCGCGAAGGGTACTGGCTGTCAAGCCTTCGCGTTAGTGATGGTTACTCCCCACTGGCCTTCGCATTCGCGATGACGGAACGGCTGACTCCCCCTCCCCAATGCCTAACACTACGCGTTCACGATGGGCTTGTCGTGTCCGCGAAGGGTAACGCCCCCATCGCTTCGCATTCGCGAAGAAGAAATCCCTGCCTCATCAGTTTACTCTTCGCGTTCGCGAGAGAACCTTCGCGAATGCAAAGAAGGATATGCCAGACACCAGAATCTGTAGAAAACCAGATTTTTCCCAAAGTCCAAAACATCATATGGCCTATCCGAAACTCGCCCGAACCCTCGGGGCTCCAAACCAAACATGCACACAAGTCAAAAAATATCATACGAACTTGCTCGTACAATTAAATCGCCAAAATAACACCTAGAACTATGAATTTAGCACCAAATCAAATGGAATTCTCAAGAACACTTTAAAATTTCTATTTTCTTATCTGGACGCCCGAATCACGTCAAATCAGCTCCGTTTCTCAACAAATTTCATAGACAGGTCTTAAATATCATAACGAACCTGTACCGGGCTCCGGAACCAAAATACGAACCCGATAATAACAATGCCAAATATCAATCAATTCTTAAAAAACAAATAATTTCCAAACTTTTAATTTTCATCAAAAATTCATAACTCAAGCTAGGGACCTCCGAATTCGATTCCGGGCATACACCCAGGTCCCATAATTCGATACAGACCTACCGGGACTGTCAAAGCATGGATCCGGGCCCGTTTACCAAAAATATTGACCGAAGTCAACTAAAATAAACTTTTAAAGCAAAATTTTTTATTTTCATTAGTTTTCAACATAAAAGCTTTTCGGAAGCCTGCCGGACTGCGCACGCAAATCGAGAAGGGTAACAATGAGATTTTTAAGGCTTAAGAGCGCAGATTCGAGTTCTAAGACATAAGATGACCTTTTGGGTCATCACATTCTCTACTTCTAAAACAACCGTTCGTCCTCGAACGGACATAGAAAAGTACCTGGGACGGTGAAAAGGTGGGGATATCTACTCCGCATATCGGACTCGGACTCCCAAGTAGCTGCCTCAATAGGCTGACCTCTCCACTGCACTCGAACTGAAGGGTAACTCTTTGATCTCAATTGGCGACCTTGCCAGGCTAGAATTGCCACCGGCTCCTCCTCGTAAGTCAAATCCCTGTCCAACTGGACAGAGCTGAAATCTAACACATAGGACGGATCGCCGTGATACTTTTGAAGCATGGACACACGGAATACCGGAAAAACAGCTGCTAAACTAGGTGGCAACGCAAGCCTATAAGCCACCTCTCCTACTCTCTCCAGAATCTCAAAAGGTCTGATATACCTAAGGCTCAACTTGCCCTTCTTTCTGAACCTCATTACACCCTTCATGGTTGATACCCGAAGTAACACTCTCTCTCCGACCATGAATGCAACATCACTAACTCTACGGTCGGCATAACTCTTCTGCCTGGACTAAGCTGTGCGAAGTTGATCCTGAATAATCTTGACCTTATCCAAGGCATCCTGTACTAAGTCTGTGCCCAACAACCGAGCCTCTCCCGGCTCGAACCACCTAACTGGCGACCGACACCGCCTACCATATAATGCCTCATAGGGAGCCATCTAAATGCTCGACTGGTAGCTGTTGTTGTAGGCAAACTTTGCAAGGGGCAAGAACTGATCTCACGATCCTCTGAAGTCTATAACACAAGCGCGGAGCATATCCTCCAAGATCGGAATAGTACGCTCAGACTGCCCGTCCGTCTGAGGATGAAATGTTGTGCTCAACTCAACCCCCGTACCTAACTCACGTTGAACTGCCCTCCAAACGTGCGAGATAAACTGTGTACCTCGATCAGAAATGATAGACATGGGCACACAGTGAAGACGGACGATCTCACGAATATAAATCTCTACTAACCGTTTCGAGGAATAGGTAACTTCCACAGGAATGAAGTGCGCTGACTTAGTCAGCCTATCCACAATAACCCACACACGACGTCGAACTTCCCAAGTCCAAAACATCCTATAGCCTATCCGAAACTCACCCGAGCCTTCAGGGCTCCAAACCAAACATGCACACAAGTCTAAAAATATCATACGAACTTGCTCGCTCGATCAAATCGCCAAAATAACACCTAGAACTACGAATTTAGCACCAAATCAAATGAAATTCTCAAGAACACTTTAAAATTTCTATTTTCTCAACTGGACGTCCGAATCACGTCAAATCAGCTCTGTTTCTCACCAAATTTCACATACAGGTCTTAAATATCATAACGAACTTGTACTGGGCTCCAGAACCAAAATACGGACCCGATACTAACAATGCCAAATATCAATCAATTCTTAAAAACAAATAATTTCCAAACTTTTAATTTTCATCAAAAATTCATAACTCAAGCTAGGGACCTCCGAATTCGATTCCAAGCATACGCCCAGGTCCCATAATTCGATACAAACTACTGGTACCGTCAAAGGATGGATCCGGGCCCGTTTACCAAAAATGTTGACCGAAGTCAACTAAAATCAACTTTTAAGGTAAAAATTCTTATTTTTATTAGTTTTCAACATAAAAGCTTTTCGGAAACCTGTCTGGACTATGCACACAAATCGAGGAGGGTAAAAATGAGATTTTTAAGGCTTAAGAGCACAGATTCGAGTCCTAAAACATAAGATAACCTTTTGGGTCATCACACACGTGGAAGGATATCTGAGTGTTTACACTTATCCTTTCACGTTGGGTCCCCTTGATTCAGTCATCATCGATTTTTGCAAGAAATACCAGGTGACCCTCGGTAAAATTCACCCTTCTTTTTTGGAGGATTGTGATACTGCTTCGTTTCTTTGTGAGAAAAATCGATGGGTTTCCCTTCACTCTTGACCACCTCGTAAGATTATATAGCCCCCGACTTTACCAAGGTGTGCTGATAAAGCTTCAACGTCGGGCCACCAAGGCGTTCACCTCGAACATAGATGAAGACAAAGATCGGGGTTGGATGGGCTGGTTCGTTCGAGTGAAGACCTCGAACCTAATCCCGGCTGAGAGTATGCCATTTTCCGAGAAATGGAATATGAAACACAAGTATGATCCCGTTTTTAGTTTTCGTTGTTTATACTTCTTCATCTTTACTTATCAGTGTTTTTCTTAATGCAACCGTTGCTTGGATGCCGGGTGCGGTTCCCCACCTCAAGAACTGGGTCAGGAGCCTGGTTTCGACGTTAACATACGCCGAGCGCGTGTGGCACTATTTGTCAAAGGGTCGGTGGGAGGCTTGTACTCATGGTAAGCCTTCTTCTCGGCTTTATCGATTTTGCCTATCGTTCAAGCATTTTTTTTTCCAAGTATGAGTTTATTTATTTTCTCCTTATGTAGGTCTAGGAAAGGATGCGGTTATGAGACCCTCGCCCGGAGATGAAGAGGATTTACCACCTATCTGGAAACCGATGATGGAGATTAAGAGAAAAAGGGCCTCGAACCCTGAGGGTCAAAAACCCAAGGTAGAGAGCGTACCGTAAACCCAAAGGGAACACAATCTCACTGACTATGGAGTCGGTCATGAGTCTAAGGGATGAAAAAGAAGAAGAAGAAGAAGGTGACTCTGGTCTGCTGGCCCGTGCACGAGCTAGCACCGATATTCAAAAACTTTTGGTACCGGTGGAAGTTGATACTGCTCCATCCAGGCATGATGAGGTCGGGGAGGAGACTTCGACCCGAGTTCTCGAGCCGAGGGGGACCGAGGATATTTTACCTCGGGGCAAAGAGATCGTCTAAGAGGTGGTGGATGTCGGTGCAGGAACCGAGCTTGAGTCTCCCCAAGACGGAGGCTGCACCCCGAAAACCCTACTTAGGGCAATAGAGATCGGGGATTCCCCCTCATTTCCTTCATTTTCGCAGTCGATGATTCGTGACACTCAGGCCAAAGAGGCCTATCGCGGGGAAGGAGCCCATGAAGAGGAAGACCCTTTCCATGGTTATTTTGTCGGGGTAGAAGATGTCACCGGTCTTGGTGACTCGGAGGCTCCGAAGAAGAGATCGGGCAAGGTGGGAGTGTCATGCCTTTTCAACGAAGCTCAACAGGCCCTGAATCGGGTAAGTTCATATTTTCTCTTTGTCAATTTTCATACTTGTATTTTTCTTTCCTTGTATAATTCATTTTTTCTATTCTTGTAGGCTTTTGTGCTTCATCACGAGGCATTCCTTCGATCCCGAGGGGAGCTGAGCCGGTACGAAGCCAAAATTCGAAGGCTTACTGAGGAGAGAGATGCCTTCAATCTTATCAGTGAGCAAAGAGAAGGAGAAGCAAAAGGACTTCGGACTGAGCTAGACGCTGCTCGGAAAGAACAAGCTGATCTGACCGAGCAGGTAAAAAGAATATTTGAAGTTAATGTCACTGACTCGGGCGTGACGGCTAACAGTTCAGTCCCACAGGTCCAATAAAAGTTCGATGTTATCAGGCAGCTTCATGTTGAAGTGGACGTAGTGAAAGCGGAGGCCGAGGAGTGGAAAAAGAACATGGACCGCCTTGCCTCAGAAAAGGAGGCTGCCCGAGCTCAACTAGCCTCTGCTGAGATAGAAATTCGAGGCTTGAAAGAGAAGGCCTTGGTGCAAGCTAAGGAAATCGAGGAGTTCCGATCTCGGTTGGGCTCAGCAACTTTTGATCGAGAAAGACTGGCTACAAAACTTGCAGCGGCCAAATCAGAGGTCGAAACAGCCATGGCAGATGCTAATGCAATGGTGGCCATCTACCGGTCCGATGCTGAAGCTGCTCAGGTTCGAGCAAACGAGGTTGCCGAAGTGGCTCAGGCTCGAGTAAATTGGGTTGCCGAGCATGTAAATGCCAGTCTTGAAGGGAGACTCTCGAGGAGATCCATGCTCGTGGCTTTGATCTTACAGCCGAGATTGAGAATGCTAAGGAGCTCAAAACCGAAGCTAGAGTGTTGGCCTTTCCTGATGATGATAATGATACCAAGAGTATGAGCGGATCTGAAAGAGAAGGGGGCCTCGAGGGCAAATATGCTGCTCCCGGAGAGGACTAAGTCCTTTAGGATTAGTATGTTTTATGTTTCTTTTAAGGCCGTTTCGGTCTTTTGTAGAGAAAATTGATCGGGCCATGCTGCCCTTGTAAATAATTTTTGACATATATAAAAAACTTTCTTCCTTTCTGCCTTATAGAATTGTGAAGTTGTATTCTAAGGTCGGGGTTCAGATAATTTGATCAAAACCGAACTAGTGTAGCCTTTAGGCCTTTTGATCGAGTAAGTGCTTGCTTGAACTTGAAATAAAGTAACCCTTAGGTTTTTAGTTGAGCGAGAACGGTCTCTCAAACTCAAATCAGAAAGCAGCCCTTAGGCTTTATGGTCGAGTGAGTGCTTGCTCGAACTCGAAGTAAAGTAACCCTTAGGGTTTTAGTTGAGCGAGGACGGTCTCTTGAACTCAAAGCAGAAAACAACCCTTAGGCTCTGTGGTCGAGTGAGTGCTTGGTCGAACTCGAAGTAAAGTAATCCATAGGTTTTTGTAAAAAGGATTGTTTATGGCCTTGTCCCCTTTCCGGCTTGAAAGAGTTTCTTATCATTCGTATTTGCGAAACTTGTAATGCATTAGCATGAAATAGGGAATTGTTCGAGATCTCAAACAATTTTGTACTCATTAGAGTTTTCGAACCTTGATATTATCGAAGCCTTTTATGATTTTGCCGGGGGGTAGCCTTTCTAACCCTGTTTTGTTATGGAATTCGGACGTCTCTGATTCGTGTTAATTCGGCCGTAGTCTCTTTAGTCCGGGATTTGCATCTTGAGCTTATTTTCTCATTTTACTTCGAGCTTGCCCGAAGTATCAGTCCCCGAGTGGCATGGCCGTGGCCTATAAAAATCCATCTTTAGTTCGGGATTTTCCTCTTGGGCTTATGATCTTCGGAGTTTATATAATTTGATCTCGTTGATTTTTTAGACGGTAGTCCCCGATTTATGGGGGTAATCATTCGAACTCCGGTCATGGTCGGCCCTTAAGCCTGTTTGCATAATAGATTGAGAATATAAAGTAGAAGAACCTTTCTGAGGTATGAGATATCGGTAAAGAAGAAATTTCTCTATATAAATCATTACACATGCGTACATATTTTATGCTAGGGCTCGAGCAAACTACGCGGGCATGGTTCGTTTGACCATTTGGCCCTTACAAATTTTTCCTATCGAGACCCTGTTGCCATGAAGTAACTTCCTTGCATCGAACTTGTTTATTCGAGGGCAATGCTTCCCCCCAGTATTCGAGGTTGATTGTAAAGAGGCCTCGGATACTGTTGAATTGTTCTAAGTTAGCACAATCAATGGTTGCCTCATTAAAAACCTCACCGGAAAACCCATTTGGGACAAAACTGGTCTAAGGAAAAAAGAGTGCAACACGTGCTTTCTGACCTAAAGGCTTCGAGTTGAAGAATCCATCCCTGTTTCTGGTCGAACACCTACAAGGGTTAGTTTCGAATTACAAATGAACATGGGAAGGTCGTACCTTAGCAGTAGTATCGTTTTAGGTGCGATACGTTCCATTTTCTCGGTAGTTGTTTTCCGTTTATCATACCGAGCTTGTAGGATCCTTTTTCGATAATTCCGAGAACCTGACACGGTCCTTCCCAGTTCGGACCCAGTTTCCCTTCATTCGTATTTCGGGTGTTGAGGGTGACTTTTCTTAGCACCAAGTCCCCGATTTTAAAATGTCGAAGATTGGTTCTTCAATTATAGTATCTCTCGATTTGTTGTTTTTGGGCGGCCAATCGGACGAGAGAAACTTCTCGTCTTTTGTTCAACAATTCTAGGCTCGTATTTATGGTCTTGTTATTCGACTCCTTTGTTGCATATCGAAACCTGATGCTAGGTTATCCAACCTCGACTGAGATTAGAGCTTCGGTACCATAAATCAACGAGAATGGTGTTGTTCCGGTACTAGATTTCGATGGTGTGCGGTGTGCCCATAGGACCTCGGGTAGTATTTCTCTCTATTTTTCTTTGGCGTCGGTCAATCTCTTCTTAAGATTTTGGATGATGGTTTTGTTGGTCGATTCGGCTTGTCCGTTCCCGCTGGGATAATAAGGTGTTGATAGGATCCTTTTGATCTTGTGAACCTCCAGAAATTTAGTTACTTTGCTGCCGATGAATTGTTTTCCATTATCACATACAATCTCGGATGGCATCCCGAATTGACATATGATATGGTCCCAAATGAAGTCTATCACTTCTTTTTCTCTGACTTTCTTGAAAGTCTATGCTTCAAACCATTTAGAGAAATAATCAGTCATAAACAAACTAAAATGAGCTTTACCTGGGGCCGATAGGAGGGGGCCAACGATGTCCATTCCCCATTTTATGAAAGGCTATGGAGATAGGATCGTGTGGAGTAAATCCCCGGGTTGATGAATTATGGGCGCATGTCTTTGGCATTTGTCGTATTTTCGAATGAACTCCTTTGCATCCTTGCCCATATCGGTCCAATAATACCCTGCTTTGATTACTTTGTGGACCAGCGAATCGGCACCAAAATGGTTTCCATAAGTGCCCTCATGAATTTCCCGTAGGATGTAATCGGTATCTTCTGGTCCCAAAAATATTGCCAATGGTCCATCGAACGTCCTTCTAAATAGCGTTCCGTCTTCGGACAAGGTGAACCGTGCTGCCTTTATGCGCAGAGCTCTTGATTCCTTTGGATCTGATGGAAGCTTCCCGTTCTTGAAGTACTCTATATATTTGTTTCTCCAATCCCTGGATAAACTTGTGGAGTTTATCTCGGCGTGACCTTCTTCGATTACCGATCTCATGAGTTGTACGACAGTCCCCGAGTTGAGTTCGTCATCTTCGACCGATGAACCTAAGTTTGCAAGAGCGTCGGCCTCGTTGTTCTGTTCTCGGGGTACATGTTGCAAGGTCCATTCCTTAAATTGATGTAGAGTCATATGTAGTTTATCCAAGTACCTCTGCATTCGATCTTCTCGGACTTCGAAAGTCCCATTAACTTGATTTACCACGAGGATGGAATCATACTTAGCCTCTATGACTTCCGCTCCCAAGCTTCTAGCTAGTTTGAGACCTGTAATCATGGCCTTATACTCAGCCTCATTGTTAGTCAATTTTGTATTTCTGATAGATTGTCTAACTATATTACCTGTGGGTGATTTTAGTACGATGCCTAGTCCGGACCCCTTCGCGTTTGAGGCACCGTCCGTAAAGAGGGTCCAGACTCCCGAAGAGGTACCCGAAGTCCGCCAAGATTTGAGATTTGATGGCGGTTCGGGGTCGATACTCAATATCGTACCCACTGATTTCTATGGCCCATTTGGCCAATCGACCCGAAAGCTCGGGTTTGTGCAAAATATTTCGAAGAGGATAAGTTGCTACAACACATATCGGATGACACTGGAAATATGATTTTAGTTTCATAAAGGCGCTTATTAAAGCAAGTGCTAATTTTTCTAAGTGTGGATATCTAGTTTCGGCCTCGCCTAAGGTCCGACTGACATAATAAATAGGGAATTACGTACCTTGTTCTTCTCAAACCAGGACTCCACTTACCGCTATCTTCGAGACAGCTAAGTACAGGTAAAGATGTTCGTCCACTTTTGGGGTGTGAAGCAGCGGTGGGCTGATCCTCTAAAGCCTGCTGGCATTCCGGAGCCCATGCAAAGTTCTTCTTCTTCTTAAGTAGTGAGAAAAATCGGTGGCTCCTATATGAGGATCTCGAAATGAATCGTCCTAGGGTGGCTATCCGTCCCGTTAGCCTCTGTACGGCCTTTATATTATCTACTACCGTGATATCCTCGATAGCTTTGATTTTATCGGGGTTGATCTCGATTCCCCGATAGGACACCATGAAACCAAGAAACTTGCCCGAGCCAACCCCGAATACACATTTTTCGGGGTTGATCTTCATATTGTACTCCCTCAGTATATCGAAAGTTTCCTACAAATGCTTCAAATGGTCCTCTGCTCGCAGGGACTTAACTAACATGTCATCAATATAGATTTTCCAATTTGTTTTTCAAACATTCAGTTTACTAGGCGTTGATAAGTTGCACCAGTATTTTTTAGACCGAATGGCATTGCGTTATAACAATAGGTACCGTACTTAGTGATAAACGAGGTCTTTTCTTGGTCCTCCAGGTTCATTTGTATCTGGTTGTACCCGGAGTAAGCATCTAGAAAACTGAAAGTCTCCTGGCCGGCCGTGGCATCGATCATACGATCGATATTAGGCAAAGGAAAATAATCCTTAGGGCATGCTTTATTCAGGTCTTTATAATCTATACATATTCTAAGTTTGTTTCCCTTCTTAGGGACTACCACCATGTTTGCTAGCCATTCGGGATATTTTACTTCTCGAATGGATCCTTATCTTAAGAAATTTGGTTACCTCGTCCTTTGTGAAGGCACGTTTGATCTCGGACTTGGGCCTTCTTTTTTGCTTTACCGGATGGAATTTCAGATCCCAGCTTAGTCTATGAGTGGTTATTGCCGGTGGGATCCCTGTCATGTCAAGATGGTACCAAGCAAAACAGTTCATGTTAGCTATAAGAAATTGAATAAGCTTTTTCTTGAGCTTGAGATTTAACCCTATGCCCAGTTATACCTTTCACTCGGGCAGATGTTCGATTAGTGTGATTTTCTCCAGTTCTTCGACCATTGATTTGGTAGCGTCGGAAGGGGACCATAAAGGATCGAGGGATCCCATAATCATCGTCTTCGTCAGTCTTCTGATTTTCTAGTTGGGTCGAGGCTGACGTTTGTGATTGCTATTTGGTATCCAGTTTCTCCTTCGAATTTGATCCCTTTTGTCGATGATAGTGATGATATCGGAATCACTTCGTCGACGACAAACATTTCCTTTGCGGCCGGTTGCTCCCCGTAGACCATTTTGATTCCCTCTGGTGTTGGGAATTTTAGAACCTGGTGAAGGGTCGAGGGTACTGCTCTCATGTCGTGGATCCACGACCTCCCAAACATGGCGTTATATCTCATATCGCCCTCGATCACGTGGAACTTCATTTCTTGGATGG